ATATCTAAAATTCGCCAAAAAAACGCTGAAAGTACTGAGAATTCAGAAAGAAACACTAAAAAATTGTCAGAAGAACCTCCAAAAGCCACCAAAAACGTCAGAAGTACTAAGAATCCAGAAAGAACCACCAAAAAGTCATCAGAAGAACCTCCAAAATTCGCCAAAAGACATCTGAGGTACCAAGAATCCAGAAAGAACCTTCAAGAACATCTAAAATTTGCCAAAAAATGCCAGAAGTACCGAGAATTCAGAAAGAAACACCAAAAAATCGTCAGAAGAACCTCCAAAAGCCACCAAAAAACGCCAGAAATATCAAGAATCCAGAAAGAACCACCAAAAAGTCGGCAGAAAAACCTCCAAAATACGCCAAAAGACATCGGAGGTACCAAGAATCCAGAAAGAACCTCCAAAAACATCTAAAATTCGCCAAAAAAATGTTGAAAGTACCGAGAATTTAGAAAGAAACACCAAAAAATCGTCAGAAGAACCTTCAAAAGCCACCAAAAACGCCGGAAGTACCAAGAATCCAGAAAGAACCACCAAAAAGTTATCAGAAGAACCTCCAAAATTCGCCAAAAGACATCAGAGGTACCAAGAATCCAGAAAGAACCTCCAAGAACATTTAAAATTCGTCAAAAAATGCTGGAAGTACCGAGAATTCAGAAAAAAACACCAAAAAATCATCAGAAGAACCTCCAAAAGCTACCAAAAAACGCCAAAAATACCAAGAATCCAGAAAGAACCTCCAAAAATCATCAGAAGAAACTCTAAAAGTCACCAAAAATGCTGGAAATACCAATAATCCAGAAAGAAATGCCTAAAAGTCGTCAGAAGAACCTCAAAAGTCGTCAAAAATCACCGGAAGTACTGAATAATAAAATCTCTGGTGTGTTATATAAGAAATAGCTCCAAAAATCTCACTTTTTGAATCATCATGATCCTTTTTGACAATTCTAGATCTAAGATATAAGATTGCATATTTCTACCAATGCCTTTATTTTGTAAAATATTACTACTTTGAAAGTCTGTGTGAACGTATTACCAAGAATCCAGAAAGAAACAACAAAAAGTCGACAGAAAAACCTCCAAAATTTGCCAAAAAACGCCAAATGTACCAAGAATCCAAAAAGAACCTCGAGAAAGAACCTCAAAGAACATCTAAAATTCGCGAAAAAATAACAAAAGTACCAAGAATCCAGAAAGAAACACCAAAAAGTCATCAGAAGAACCTCCAAAAAATGCCTTAAGTACCAAGAATCCAGAAAGAACCTTGAGAAAGAGCTCTCAAGAACATCCAAAATTCACCAAAAAATGACAGAAGTACTAAGAATCCAGAAAGAAACACCAAAATGTCACAAGAAGAACCTCCAAAAGCCGCCAAAAAACACTGGAAGTACAAGAATTCAGAAAAAACATCCAAAATTCTCCAAAGAACGCCGGAAGTACCAAGAATCTAGAAAGAACCTCCAAAAAGTCATCAGAAGAATCTTCAAAAGCCACCAAAAAATGCTGGAAGCACCCAAGAAGCTTCAAAAATCGTTATAAAGGTCGCCAGAAAAACCTAAGAATTCAAAAGAACCACTGCAGAACGACGAAAAAACATCACTATTAAATAAATAAAACCACATTAAAGAAGAAGCCATGTAAACTGAACTTTGAACAATCATGAATCCACTATTAAAAACGAAAAACATCACCATAAAGCGACGACCTTAAAATAAATAAAACCACAATTGAAAGCGACACCTAAAAAAAAATTAAAATTAATTAAATAGCAATAATCGCGATATACTACGTAGGGGTTTATAGTAAAAATACTACATACGTACGTATTAAATAAATCATGAAACCCCCTACCGCTACTACGTATTACAATTTAATAGATGGGGCTAATGCTTCTTTTATAACAAAAATAAGTTGTATGTACGTACTGTATGTACCGGTACGTAGATAATAAATTAACATCTATTCTTGAAACCGGATTTTTCTATTTTTAGAATATTCCGTAAAAAAAGGGTTAAACAACATAAACTTTCGTAACTCAAAATTTTATTAATTAATCAGGTTTTCATTATTAAGTAAAAAAGATTTGTTGGCAAAAATTCTATTAAATTAATCAAAAAGATTATTTTTGAAAAAATTGTCAAATTCGGCGGTTTCTACTTTTGACCGCCCATATGAGTATCGCCAAATGAAAACCCTGAAATCTAAAAATAAATCACTTATGAATTTCATAAGTGATCTATTTTTAGATTTCCAATCTTCCATTTGGCAACACTCATATAGTATAGTAATAAAATTTTAAAATGTTCTAGATAATTACTCCGTTATAATGAGGATCCCTTTAACAGGGTCCGCTATAACGAGGGTAGAATGTATAATTTATTGATCTATATAGATACTTGAATTATTAGACTTTATAGTAAAATTAATATTGTTATTACCAATGTATAATTTTTTCAACGTAGTGTTCTTACTAAGTGCATCTTCTAAAGCTTTTCCTCCTTCTGATCCAAGATTATTATTATTAAGATATAAAGAAGTTAGAGTGGTGTTCTTGCAAAGTGCATTTGCTAATGTTTTTCCGACGTCCGATCCAAGATCATTAAAGCTAAGAGCCAAAAAAGTCAGCGTGGAATTCTTGCAAAGTGCATTAGCTAATGCTTTTCCTCCTTCTGATCCAAGATTATTACAATGAAGAAACAAAGAAGTCAGAGTGGTATTCTTGCAAAGGGCATCCGCTAATGCTTTTCCTTCTTTTGAACCAAGATTATTATTGTAAAGATTCAAATATTTCAGTGTATTGTTCATGCAAAGTGCACCTGCTAATGCTTTTACACCTTCAGATCCAGGATTACTCGAACTAATAATCAAAGAATTCAGCATAGCATTCTTGCAAAGTACATTAGCAATTACTTTTCCGACATCTGGTTCAAGATTATTTGAACTAAGGTCCAAAAAAGTCAGCGTGGTGTTCTTGCCAAGTGCATCTGCTAATATTGTTTTATTAATAATACTGTCAAGTGTTAAATATTTAAGATTTTTACTTGCACGCAGGAACATTAAAACTAAAGAACATTTGATAGCATTTGCAAGTTCGTCTTTTTCAAAATAATATCCTTTATAGTTAAGCCAATTTATGACTCCATAGTTCAACTCAAAACCAACATATGTAGTATAACTTTCGTATTCAAATAACGGCCTTGGATAATTTGGAAGCGTAATTTTAAGAGGGATCAATAGAGCCTGCTCTTCAGCATTTAATGCCAAAAGATATATTCTTATAAGACTATTATCATCAAAATATTTCGTAGGTTCACTCCATAATATTGGTATAATAAGTCTACACCATTGCCGGTTTACAAGAAGGCATGAAAATAAGGTTTTATAATTAGGTTTAAAATAATTAAATATTTCAAAAAGACATTCGTTCGGTAACATTATCATTTTGAAAGGATTATGAATTTTATAGCGGTAAAAATCGGATTTTCCTCAGGTACGTATATGTGTACTGTAAAATGTGAAACATACCATAAACTGCTGACTCCGTACTACACTGCAGTAAAGTAGTACTTACGCCAGTACAGATTTTGGGATACGTATCACCGACACTCATTTCGTAGACATAACATTTCACCGACATGTTTATTTTACCGGCAATTATTTCGCAGACAAATTTAGTTCACCGACAGTTCATTTCAGCGAAGCTCATTCATAGACAAATGTTTTTTTATAAATTCCACTAACCTTAACTCTAATTCTAACCTGACCCTAACGACAATGACCAGAATCATTTTGTCAGTGAAATAAGTTTCGGTGAAATAAATTGTCGGTGAAATAAATTGTCGGTGAAATGGAAAATAAATGTCGGTGAAATAACATGTCGGTGAAATGTAGGGATGGCAAATGATTTAAAACAGAATGTTTTAAATCAGTTTTATATTGCTTTAAAGTGATTTTTTACATGTTTT